AAATAAAACAAAACCAAACAAAATTTAAAAACAATTACCTCAAGATTATCAAATTAAATCAGTGGTGTAGGGACACATGAGGTAGTAAAGCCATAGCACAACCAGCCTGTGATCTTATCATACACACTAGACCACCAAATGACAAAACTGCCTCACCTGAATCACGTAAAAGGAAGTTCGGTGCCTAAACCTGGCATGGTGGCACACACTATAATCCCAGCATTCAGGTGGCTGAGGCAGAAGGATCACCATGAGTTCCAGACCAGCCTGGGCTACATAATGAGTTCAAACCCTGACCCTATCAGACCACTTGGTGAACACGTCACAAGGTCAATAGCTATCCTGGGTTCAGCTCAGCTTGACCATCCTGCTTGACATGGCCCTTGACATGGCCCAACAAGTTCACTGTTCTCAACAAGCTCAGTACCTAGAATGAGCCCTGCCTGTGGGGGTCTGGGTCTTACCTGGTATCTTGGTTACTTTTCTCTCGTGGCTGAGACAAAATACTTGACACCCAGAATTAAGGAAGAAAAGGTTTATTTAGCTCACAGCCTGTGGAGGTTTCAGTCCATACTTGGGTGGCTCCAAGGCAGAGTGGCACATGGCAGAGGGCAACAGTTCTTGGGCTGAAGACAGCAAAAGCAGCAAGAGCAAAAGGGAGGAGCGGCAGCTGGAAGAGCAAGAGTCTTTCCCTCCCTTACACTGTATGCAAACCACCCGCCCCAGTGCAAGTGTAGCGCTCACATCCATAATTCCAGCATTGGACCATGAATCAATCATAAACTCTAGAGCCTGCCCCAGGACTGCATGAGGCTTTGGGGGGGACACCCAGACACAAACCGTAAGGCCTGGCCACCTCTGGTGACTGTTTCCATCTCTATGGGCTCTCTGCTTTCATTCCTGCCTCTGAATGCTGTGGCCACTGTTAACCCTCTCTCAGCCACTATGTAACTTATATATTATTGTGCGAAGTATGAGGTGTGAGGTGAGGGATACAGTTGTTAGTAATTAAGATCCGAATCAGGTAGTGCCACCCTGTGATCCCAGCATCCAGGAGGCTGAGGCAGGAGAAGACTGAGTTTGATCTCAGCCTGGGGTACACAGCATAGATCTCAAAAACGAAACACACACACACACAAAAAAAAAAAAAAAAAAAAAATGGAAGAAAAGAGACTATGATTGCCTAGATTTCTAGTGAAATCTAGAGTACTTGGCATGTAAAAAGCTGACATTGGCATAGCTTGGGAATTTATTGTTACACAGTAAATTCTGACATGGTGGAAAGACAAACATGCCTAGTCTACGTTAATGGAATAGTTTACTCACGGTGTTATCCCGATCTTAGATAAAGAAGAAGTCATGAAACTGGGAGAGCTGGAATTGAAGCCTTGGTGGCCTGGCTCCAGATTCTGCTCTCAATGCTTAACCAAGTCAGTTGTGAAGTTTATTTTGTTTGGTTTGCAGTGCTGGGAGCCAGAATCCAGGGCCTAATGCATGCACCCTACCAATGCGTACCTCCCTCCTAGCACCCCAAAGTTGTGAGGTTTAAATGAGAAGATGCACAAATCATTTAGCTTAGCACACAGTTCTCAAACTTTAGCTTGCATCTGAATCACATGGAGGGCTTGTTAAAACACAGATGACAGACTTCTGTCCCTAGAGTTTTAGATTCAGTAGCCAGCCGGGACCGGTGTTTTTCTTTTCTTTTTTCTGTACTGGGGATTGAACCTAGGGTTTTGGTTTAGAGTTTTGTTGTTACTGTTGTTGTTGTTGTTGTGTTGTTTTGTTTTGGTTTTGGTTTGCTTGTTTTGTTTAGTTTTGTTGTGAGACAGGGTCTCTACCTGCAGTTTAGGCTGGCTTTGAACTCTTGGTGATCATCTTGCTTCAGCCTCCTGAGTGCTGGGATTATAGGTGTGTGCCACCGCACCTGGCATCATTTGTTTCTTGAATAAATAATTATTGGGTGCCATGCTAAATAAATGAATGCAGTCAGTCACCCATTCCTGTCAGTTTTATCTCCTAAAGAGCCCTCCAGGCTGGGGATATAGCTCAGTGGTACAGTTCCTGCTGTATATTTTCAAAATAGCAAATGTTTTGTCAATGCTTGATTTAAAACTTCCCATGGTGTAGTCAGGTGTGATGACGCATGCTTGTAATCCCAGCACTCAGGAAGCTGAGGCAGGAAGATTCCTGGAGGGATGAAGTCAACCTGGGCTACATAGGGAGTTCTGGGTTAACCTGAAATACACAGTGAAATCCTGTCTCAGAAATCCCTAAATACATAATCCCAGCATTTGGGAGGTTGAGGCAGGAGAATCATTGCAAGTTCGAGACCAGCCTGGGTTACAAAGTGAACTCAAGGTCAGCTTGAACTGCATAGCAAGACAGTGTCTCAAAAAGACCAAAAAAAAAAAAAAAAAAGTCCCTAAATACAGCCAGGGATGTAGCTCAGTGGCACAGTACCTGCCTGGCAAGCTTGAGGCCCTGTGTTCAATTCCTGGTACAAAAAAAAAAAAAATCTCTAAATAGATAAATGAATAAATAAAGCAGTAGTGGTATAAAACTATTACCCAGAATTGCCAGTGTAATGACTAAAACTAGTTGCCTTTGGGAAATGAACCTAGAGGTGTGAAAGAGTAAGGCTAATTATCTTTTTATGTAAATTCTTCTATAACCACTGGCTAGAATTGAACTAAAAGCTAAAGCAAAACAAAGTTTTTCATAGCTCCCCAGTACCTGTGAAGTCCAAATTCATTCTTTCTTTCTTTCAAGTCCAAATACTTTAAAACCATATTCTATAACAGTATTACTCAAAGTGTGATCTTCAGACCAGCAGCATGGCCATCACCCTCTAGCTTGTTAGAAATGCAGAATAAGTCTGGGTGTGGTGGCTGTGATCCCAGCAGTTGGGAGGCCGAGGCAGGAGGATCCATGCAGCCTGGGCTACATAGTGAGCTCAAGGCCAGCCTGAATTACCATAGCTTGAATAGCGAGTCCCTGTCTCAAAAACAACAAAAAAGAAAAGCAGAACCGAAGGCCCCAACCCCTATTTACAGAATCAGAAGCTGTCTTGCTTTATTCCCCAAGCTGGCCCTGAACTCCTGATCTTTCTGCCTCAGCCCCAGCAGAGCTAGGGCTACTAGAATGAGTGGCTGTGCCCAGCAGAACCTGCATGCCACAGGATTAATTCCCCACAGACCTGCTTAGGAAGCATCTTGCTTGTAATCCCATGCATGGTGTAGTCCCTGCGGACGCCTCTGGCTTTAACCCTGATCGCTCTCACTTCCTGCGCCTTCCGGGTGAATCCTAGCCCCAGGGAGGTGTGCGTGTGAAAGGCTAGCTAAATTCTAGCCGCTGTTTTCCGACCCAGCTCTTCCACTCCAGGAAGCTTTCCAAACCCTCCGCAGTTCTGTTGCCACCGTCCCTAAAACTCCGACATCTCTGGCCCCCGGGCAGCTGAGTCTTCTTCATTCGCCAAGCACTTATTGGACGCCTACTGTGTGCCTCGCCGCACTGTGTGCCAGGCTGGGGAGGAGGCACTCCCCACCCCCCCACGGCCTTCAGCTCTGAATCCGGGATCGCCCGCCAGGGCCAGACGTGGTGCGCGCGGCACTGTGGAGTATTTCTCTGCCCTAGCTCTGCGTGGCTTTTCGGAGCCTTACGGCGCCCGCCTCCGCCCCGCCGGTTCGGCGCGCCGAGCTGCCGAGAACGCGGGCCGGAGCCGGACCCCGGCACCGCGCCGCCCAGCCGTGTCCCCGCGCCGGCCCGCATGGAGGGGCCGGCGGAGCCCCCGACGCCTGATCTGCGGGACGTGGAGGGCAAGGTGGGCAGGAAGACCCCTGAGGGGCTGCTCCGAGGGCTGCGAGGAGACTGGGAGCTCGGAACCTCGGACGCCCTGCAGCTCCCGGGGGCGCCGGGCCCCGGCCCCGGCCTGAGGGACAAGATCGTGGCGCTGAGGCTGGAGCTGGTGAGTGTGGGCGCCGCGGGCCGGGGGCCCCAGAGTTAGGCTGGAGAGGAGAGAGTTAAAAACTCCCCACCTAACTCGTCAGGCTCCTCCTGGGTCATTCCCTAGACCCTGAGGTGCGGGCCACGGAGTGACGTGCAGTCCTTGTCCCCAGAGGAGGGTGGGGTGTTGATGGATCCTAAGGGCTGGGAACAAGAGGCACAGGTTTTGGATTTTTTATTTTTGAGACATGGTCTCACTATGTAGTTCGGGTTGGCCGTGAACTAGTGGCGATCCTCCAGCCTCAGCCTCCCGAGTGCTGGGATCACAGGCGTGCGCCACCACGCCGGGCAGCACAGGTTTCTGGAAGGTTTTTGTTTTTTTCTGCCAAATAATTGGAGAGTGGAGATTATGGCTGTTCTTCCCTTGTTCTGCAAACTGGGAAAGTATTTGGTCCCTGTGAGGCCCAATGTTCATGACAGCGTTTGGCACAGAAGAGATTGGGGTGCTGGCATGTGGACTGAAAACTGCTCTCTCTCTCTCTCTCTCTCTCTCTCTCTCTCTCTCTCTCTCACACACACACACACACACACGCACACACACGCACACACACGCACACGCACACGCCACCTAAAATACTTGGAAGTTACAGCCCTTAGCAGAGCGGGAAGAGCAGAGTAGCAGCTCAGTCAGTGCGCTTCTTCACCCACTCTCTTTCCCTTGCACAGCAGCCTTCCCCTCTCCCTGGAGTTGCTGGTCTAGATTCAGAGCCAAAAGGGCAGCTGAGGCCCCAGCAGGCTCCCCAGGGCCCTGGTTCCGGGGAAGGGGGTGACTTACACCTGTCACTACTTTGCAGCCAGGTCTCAGGAACTAAGGAGTTGCCAGCTGCCTCCTGGCCTCGGACCAGGAGCTTACGGTGACTTTGTCAGCAAATAAATCTTCCTAGAGCCCTACTGTGTGCCCCGTTCTGCCAAGCTGACCTGGGAGGGAACAAGTGGGGGGTGACTTTTGGGAGCTCTTGGACCAGCCCGGGCCCTAAGGGTGGAGCGGTCAGGGAAGACTCCCTGGGGGCAGGACTCGAATACCAAGTGTGCGCTTGGCCTTAAAGGTTGGAGGTGAAGGCCAAATTCCCCAGAGCAGGGCTGTGACGGCACCCTTGGGGGGAGGGGCTGGCCCAGCCTCCTTGTACAAACTTGAGCTCAAGGCCCGGAAAGAGCCTATTAGTGTGCTCTGCTTTGTTTTTTTTTTGTTTGTTTATTGGGTTTTTTTTTGAGACAGGGTCCCGCTGTGCAGTTCAGGCTGGCCTTGAGCTCACTTTGGAGCCCAGGCTAGCCTTGAACACACATCAATCCTCCTGCCTCAGCCTCCCGAGTGCTGGGATTACAGGCATGCACCACCAGGCCCGGCTAGTGTGCTCTGCTTTGGAAATGAATTTTTACCTAAGCACATCTGCCAGGCATCCTGTGAGCACCTTACATGATACTCTCCTAATACAGCGTCCCTGTTAGAGAAATGATACTTTACAGAGGAAGAAACTGAGGCACAAAGAAGTTCATTAGCTGCCCACCATCATGTACATAGTAAAAAGCAAAGTCAGGATTTGACCCCGGGCTATCTGACCATGCGTTACATCATTACGGTTGATAGCTCCTTTGTGCCAGACATTTCAGCACGTTGTCATTGCAGTGAGCAAAGTGGTCATCATTCCTCCTGTCTCACAGAAGAAACACACTTGCAGATGTTCAAGAGTCTGAACTCACAGAGGGAATCCAGAGCCATGTCTGATCTCCTAGGTGCTCACTCTTTCCAGTCTTGGTGGCTGTTACCCATTTATAAACCTTAAGGGAGTACATTTCACTTCTTATTTTGTCTCCTTGTACTGTATTTTTTTTTTTTTTTAACCAGTCTCACCATGTGGCCCAGGCTGGCCCCAAATTTGAGATCTCCCTGCCTCAGCCTTCTGAGTGCTGGAACTATAGGCATGTACCACCATGCCCAGCTATCTTCCCTTTTTTTTTCTTTTCTTTTTTTTTTTTTTTTTTTTTGTCTTTTTGAGATAGGGTCTCACTATGCAGTTCAGGCTAGCCTTGAACTCACTTTGTAGCCCAGGCTGGTCTCGAACTCGCAACAGTCCGCCTGCCTCAGCCTCCTGAGTGCTGAAATTACAGGCATGCGCCAGCACGCCTGGTGCCCAGCTGTCTTTGTATAGTTGACCCTTTTTTTTCTTTTCTTTTGGTCTTTTTGAGATAGGGTTTCACTGTGCAGTTCAGGCTGGCCTTGAACTCACTTTGTTGCCCCAGCTCACCTCAAACTTGCAGCAATCCTCCTGCCTCAGCCTCCTGAGAGTTGGGATTATGGACATGAGCCACCAGACCTGGTCTTTTTAACCCATCTTGCCTGAGGCGTAAGCCTGCCCATGAGGAGCAAGGAGGATTCCTGCCCCATTCCTTGCTCTGTCCTGGGACTAGGATGTCCTGATCTCTTCAAGCACCCTGCCTTGCCCACAGGTGGCAGCCAAGAAGGATAAGGGCTGGGACAGTGGGCTTCCCTTGGAGGCAATGGAGGCAGGACGGGTCTACCCTCTAAGGACTGTCCCCGTCTCCCTGCTGTTCTTAAGGGGGGGCAGGCCTCTGCTGGAGACCAAGGTCAGCCCGCCTCTCGCACTCCTCCCTCCTGCTTCACTGCCCCCCATCAGAGATCGAGGAAAGAGCCAGACCTTGGGATCTGTGGGAATGGGGAACAGCAGCAACTTCCCCTCCCACCCAAGGAACTGTTGCTGAGACAACCCACCTCCACAGGGCAGCTTATGACAAAGCTTTAGGCCAGGATGGGAAGGCATGGGTTCAAGCCCTGGCTCTGCTTCTGACTTATTTTGTGCTCTTGAGTAAGGTCCTGTGTCTCTCGTGGCCTCCGTTTTTCTCTCTTGGTGGCTGGGAGAAAGGGAGCGGTGGAACCAGATGAACTGTAAGGGCCTTTTGGGTAACAACAGAATGAGAATCTTGATCCACCCCCAGGAAGCTAAAACGGGATCCACCGGGCTTTTTACCCAGGGGCCTGATTTGGACGGAGCAAGCAGGGAGCAGACCCAGGGTTCCAGGGCTGGGCAGGGTTGGATGTGCTTCTGGAGAGGAGCGGGTGCTTGGAGCCCCCTGGGGAAGAGGATTGGGTTGGAGCAGCCGCCGAGGCTGCATTTCTCCTGGGCTGTTTCCGAAGAGATGGTGTGAAATGAATGTTTCTTTTTCTGGCAAGAAAGCCTGGCTTTCTTCTATTCTGGGGAGCGATGCTGTCACAGTACAGGGATCCCACCGTCACAGGATTTTGGAGTCTCCTCCTCACACTTGATTCCGGGCCATGCGCTGCAGCCCGCCCCCGCCCCTTCAGCCCTGGAGACTGGGAGAGCAGCAAGGGTCACAGAACTGAATGTGACTTAGCACGAGGCAGAGCACAAGAAGTGAACTGGCCGGGTTCTGCTCCCAGGGAGCTCAGAGTCTGGCTTAGGGAAGGATGGAAACAGACCCACAGCTCCAGTATGCGATAAGCGCTGTTCGAGCCAACAGAGGGCCTCTCCCAACCACAGAGCGAAATGTCAGCTCGGTGCCGCCGGAGTTGGCCGGGGCACACGCTCTGGCTGGAATGCTTCTCCCCTCGTCTGTCTGGCTAAGTCCTACGTGATCTTCAACCTCAGCTTCCTTCTCTCATCTCAGAAGAATTTCTGACCTCTCTGGGTTGGACTGTGGGCTTCTAGGTACTCACAGCCGTCTGTGTAGCAGCGGTTTTTCCCAGCGTTTGTCTCACTGACATTTAAGGGCTTGCTTCACTGTCTGATCTTCCCGCATTCAAATGAGCCCTCTGGGAACAAGATGTGGGGCCTTTTCTCCTTCCATCTAACAGTGCTGTGCCTATGAGAAGCATTTAATGAATATTTGTCCAGTGACAGAATGGGTTAATTCCACCCTGAGGAAGGGCCAGGCAAGGCTCCCAGAGGGATGGCGTTGGAGGGAGGCCTAGGAGAATGAACAAAGGCAGTGGGAACTCAGTTTAAGAGGACAA